TTTAAAATTAGTGTTGCTACAAAAGTATATATTAGGCTTACTAATAAGACAACTCAGATCTGAAGCTACACAGGAATCTGCTGCCAAAGTGCAATAAAAAAGACAACATTAATAGAATCAAACCCTTTTTTTGTTGCATTTTAGTAGAGTATAAAAATAAATGCCTTTTTTAAAATAGGATGCAAGCAACACTAGTTTCTTAACCTGAATTGATAATAGACTATAATCAATTTAAGTTTGCATTCTTATACCATTGTGTACAATAATCATAATGAATGAGTTCAAACAAACTAAAACTTACAGCTGATTAATAACGTATCTAACTTGAGTTTTTATTATATCAAAAACCTGTTGAAATGCTACTGTTATTTTTACTGTCCCCAAAAAGCGCATCGGCAGCCTCCAGGAAAGCTTCTTTCACAACTTCGCCGTCTTTGAAAGACTTCATGTGTTTCGCAAGAACGTGACTGACACGATAAGATGCTATGGTAGCAGCCTTGCTCTTGTTGTTGAGCCTGGTGAAAATGGACTGCTGTGCATTTAGCTGTCCTTTCAGGCCCCTCCCCTTTTGGAGCGTAGGGCAGAATTAGAAGGGAATTCCGTCTCGTAGCGTTTGTGCACTGTTTTGAAATGCCGCTCCTAAATTACCCTTCTTCGATAAAGCCACGCTCGCATTGCAGATGAGACAGATGGACTTTGAATTGGAATAGATACAAAAATAATCATCCTCCCACAAAATTATATATTTTGGGCTTCTTTGCTTCTGCCATAATTGCGGTCTTGTGTGTGTGACACGGACAACATCAGCGAAATAGTGCCCACTGCCCAACAGCCACGCCCAGACACATGGGGTCACGCCGGCCAATCACAATGCTTTGATGCGTTCAAGTACATTATTCTGGCACAGGAAGATTATGTTATAGGACATTAACGATAAAACAGAATATTGTTGTTCTATTTTTAGACACATCTCGCGATCGACTGGGAATCTCCCCGTGATCGACCGGTCGATCGCGATCGACTGGTTGGGCACCCCTGTCTTAGACGATATTAAGGCTGCTTTGGATAAAACATATGTTTGTGTTGCATTGTTTATTGACCTAGCCAAAGCATTTGACACTGTAGATCACCACATTCTGTCTAATGTTATGTTGATGTCTCGTTTAGGTCATAACGCCATTTGCTGGTTTCAAAGTTATCTAACCCAGGGGTTCCCAAACGTTGCCATGACAAGGACCCCCATATAGCATTATTCTCTGGCGGGGACCCTCCTGTTGCAATTTTTTTTTAAATGATGAGTTTATGAGTTTATGATGAGTTATGATGGAAAATATGACAAATTAATCATACAACTTAATACATTTTCTTAATATATATTTGTATTGATAATTAATAATCAGTTATTCTTCTAAACATTTTTTGTATTTATCTTTTGTTTGTCATTCATTGTGTGTTCTGTTATAAACATTCTTAACACAATATTAAACAGTAATATCAACAGTAAACATATTTTTAAAGCATTTTAAAAGTGATTTATGTCTTTATAATATTATATAATTTTGAACAGAAGATGAGAGTAACACCTACGTCACTTCCGGGCAAAAATTACGGCCCCGCCCACTTTTGGGGGAAAACAACGCTGTCATTTGAATGGCGGTCAATACAAATTCTGAAGTTTTTGCCAATCCGATCAAATTTTTTTGAAAACCGTCGATTTTTGGATCTTCAAAGAGCCCGATTACGATGGCCAGACAGGCAAACAATTACATTTGATCATTGGTAATCGACAATCGGTCTTGATATATGGTTAAATTAAAATCAGTAGGCGAGGCTGTAATTTCTCCAGCTGTTACTCTCATGAGCTAGGCGGAACATAATAGTTGTATCATGCCAACAAGCTGCCGTGTCGTTTATTGCACCTCAAACATTACAAATAATCCAGAGTTCAGTGTTTCTGTACTTCCTCTAAGAAGAAAGGACAGTAAAAGAAGAGCTCTGTGGCTTCAGGCCGTTCTTATTATACATCCATGCTTCAGGCTCGATCGCCATTCAAATGACAGCGTTGTTTCCCCCAAAAGTGGGCGGGGCCGTAAAGTGACGTCGATGTTACTCTCATCTATGAAAATCGATAGCCTACTGCTATATTTAACCATATATCGAGCCCGATCGTCGATTTCTAATGGCTTAATGCAATTGTTTGCCTGTCTGGCCATTGGAATCGGGCTCTTTGATGATCCAAAAATCTCCGGTTTTCTTAAATTTCTGATCGGATTGGCAAAAACTTCAGAATTTGTATTGACCGCCGTTCAACTGACAGCGTTGTTTTCCCCCAAAAGTGGGCGGAGACGTTATTTTTGCCCGGAAGTGACGCATTTGTTACTCTCATCTATATGAACAATTAACATATATTTTTTGCATTTTTGAAAGCTACTTATGCCTTAATAATATTATATATAATATTCAACAGTAATATTAACAATAAACATATTTATATTCATATATATAAACAACAATATTTGCTACATCCGTGCTCTCATCCAGCTGCAGAGCGAAATATTCACTTGCTCTCACTTGCTCCAAAAGCTGAGCAGATACTCAGTTTCACTCTCAGTAGCGGCAGCTCGATTCTGATTGGCTTGATGGGCGGTCGTGTGATTTAAAAATGTTTTTAGAAATACAAAATATTAAAAGATTGGCATCAAAGGACACATAGATTGATAGATATGCAGTTATTAATAACATCTATGTAAACAATATTTGTAATCGGAATCATGTGCTCCTTCTCTGGATATGGCAATTTCCAATTTAAAAATTGATTTTATCACGCTACAGCATGCGCTTATTGATTCAAAACTGCTATTGAACAGTAAGAAAACCAAAGCAATGTTCTTTGCTCCCAAGTCAGCGTCCTCTTGCCTTTCCATTGACACCCTTGATGGCGTCTCCGTTGAGTTTGTCCGTTGAGCCATTCTTGGCTTCCTTTATAGACTTAAATGTTGTTTTTTAACTTCTTCCCATAAAAGGTTGGTCTCTGGCTTATTCCTGTCCCAGCTTGACTACGGTGATACAATCTATAGATTTGCCTGTCCCACTGTGTTGGCCAAACTTGACCCACTCTATCATGCTGCACTGCGATATATATATATATATATATCAAATGCACCCTATAGGACTCATCATTGCAAACTGAATAGCCTAAATGGATGGTCGGCACTTAGTATGCGTAGGATGCAGCATTGTTTTTTATTAATGTATAAAGCCATTTTAGGTAAGCTTCCCCTGTACATATGTGCCAGATTTGCTCCAGTTTGTGACTCTTACAACCTCAGATCCAGTGCCTGGATACGGTTCCAGGTACCTGCTGTGCGGACTGAGGCTGAAAAAAGGAGTCTTTTTCATTATGGTCCTTGGTCTTGGAATGACCTTCAATCACGCCTTAAACTGACAGCACTTGTCCCTATAGCCTGTTTTAAATTGAAGCTGTCTTAGGCCCTGGCCACACGAGGACGAAAACGGCTAAACGCATAGGATTAACGCAAACGCAATCGCAAAAAAGCTGCCGTCCACACGCAATATTCACCGGATAGTGTTTGTCCACACGAGACAGCTCTGTTTAGCTCCAACCGCTGGAGAAGCTGCAGTACATATGCAGGAGCCTGTACGTGGCGCTGTAACTTCCTCCACAAAAGCAGCGAAGAAGCATGGTTGTCATGGTTGCCCTTCTGTTTATTCTCCGCGGTGGGGGCCGAGGGAACCGGGCAGAGTTTTTCGCCAGTCAACGTGTATTAAAGTTTAAACCTTCCGACGACAAAATTATAAAAGTGCCGGTCAAAGGTCTTCTTTGTTATTTATTGAGCTTTAAAACAAATGAATAATGAATCTATATAATATAATAATAAAATACATGGAGCCTCTCTTTTCCCTCCCTCTCTTCTGACAGCGCCAGTGTCTGTCTCATGCAGCAACTGATCCAGTAATGACTGACCCGGCCGACAGTAAAAATAAACATATTTATAACTAGTTTAGGTAGTTTGAGAGGTGTCTCCGTCCTGTCAGATTAGACTTCACTCGCGTTTATGTCCATATCGAGAGAAAGATAAATAATCTGAATTCAGTGTGCAGTTTACTTTGAAGCGGGGGTGAGCAGCAGAGGTGGGGAGAGGCGGGGCTATTGCCTCATCATTATCAGAAAATGATCGTATAGGGCGTACACACGGAGCCGTTGGACCCCCCAGAGCGTTGCGTATGCCGTTCTATCCACCTTGGGACCCGTTATCGTTTCCGCAGTCGTTTAGTGCCGTATTCGGTCGTCCTCGTGTGGCCGAACGGTCTATATGACACTAAACAGTAACGCAAACGACCGTTTTCGTCCTCGTGTGGCCGGGGCCTAAGGTCCTTACCACCAGCTGCTCTTGCAGTAATAAGTAGTACCTTTCTTACTGTCCCAAATGTGCACAATGTAGTGACTGCTTTTTGTTTTGTTTACTTAGTTGTGTTCTCTGTATTTTATGGCCGTGTTATGTGTAAAAATGTGTAACGTTGCTGCCTTCTTGGCCAGGTCAGCATTGCAAATGAGATTGTATCTCAATGCTTTTTATCTGGTTGAATAAAGGTTAAATTAAAATAAATTACAAACAACCTCTGACATTTTGCAGCCTGAAGTACAGCGGTCAGTTTGACAGGGCAAGGGGTTTGTTTGCCAAACTGAATGAAGTGTGTCAGCAACAATCAGCAGCCTTTGTCGTTATTCCGGGGTCACAGAGCAGCTATCTTTCCAACACAGATAAACAAAATCTTATTTCAATGTCCTCAACCTTGTACCATAATATTGACTTTTGTAACCTTAGTTATAATCCAATCACAAGCTGGGTAGTTTAGGCATTTCCTACCTCCCGTCCCGAGCATGGCCAAATCTCCCCTTCATACAGTATGTGGATTTTCCCGTTCAGCAACTGCCCAAGTGCCAATATTGAAAGTTATTTTCTGTATGTTTTCTCCAGTCCCAAGGTTACCGCCAATCACCTCTGCATACAAGAGGAAATACGAGGATGACGAGGACGAGTATGACTCAGAAATGGAGGATTTTATTGACGAGGGAGAAGAACAACAAGACATCTCCAGGCATATTAGGGAAATCTTTGGATATGATAAAAACAAGTAAGTGTTGACTTAATATACACAGTTTACAAGTACTTTCCATGTATAGTAAGTTCTTTATGACATCACTTCTTTGCTTTTTACCTCATCAGATACAAGGCGGACGAGAGTGACTATGCACTTAAATTCATGGAAAGCAGCTGGAAAGATATGCAGAAAGAGGAGGCCAGGACGTAAGATGAAAATAAAACTCCCAGTCCTCAAATATACAGATGTAGTATTTACCATCTTTTATATAATGTGATTTTTCTTCTGTGTCCCTCTGCTACTTTAGCCTGCGAATGGCCGTGAGGGAAGATCAGGAGGAGGAGGACAGAGAACTACAAGAGCTGAAAAGGCAAACTGCCAAGAGGAAAAAAAACTGAAGCCCCTATTTTCGTTGAGATTAATGAAAAACTAAAAAGCTGTGTCCCGTGAGAGGTCTGCCATGAGGCCCAGTGACTGTGCCCACCTCGGCCTCTGTGGGACAAAAACTGTGGAACGACACGTGGCATTGGCCCAGAGAAAAAGAGAAGACTGTTAGTCAAAGACAAAATATGCACAAATCATTCGGGCATTACCCTGTGACAAAGATCTCTTATTTTCCCTGTTTTATTATTTATTGCCCCCACTGAGTGACGGGTTTACATGGTCAACAGTCTCACATTTCTTAAAAGGAACTGAGAACTATAAATATGGAAGAGTGTGATATTTTGTAGACAAACAATGACATACAGGTGTTGATAAAATGCTATTTTCAGCAGAAATTGTTGCATACTTTTCCAAAACAAATGATTGTAAAGTAATTACAATATGCAGAAACACACTTTACCACTTGATGTGTTGCGTGTTTCTCTTTTAAAGGGAGTTTAGAGAAATGATTGCTTTAAATGTCTCGCTTTATGTTAATGTTTTCTCGACAATCCTAGTAATATATACAGAACTTGGGTACCACTACAAGTGTCATTTGTAGAAAATGGTATGAATTTAGGTTAAAGCAATGAAATATTATTTTGCCATTGTGTGGAAATTTGTTTTTTTAATATATGACATTTGTTAAATTAAATGTCTTATTTTTCTTTTTAGTTTAAAGATTATTATATTCTTTCTGGAGTTTTCAATGGAAATGGTTCAATCCTTTTTCAAAGGCTAAGACATTAGAGTAGAGAATGCAGCTCTAGGAGAAAAGGTGTACATTAGGAACTGATTTAGAATAATATTTACAATTTCAGTTTGAATAAAGAAACAGCTTAAAGAATAGTGACATTAATCAGATATTCAAGAGTGCTATGATTTTCATTTAGATTCATGTATAATATATTTAAGGTATAACAACTAATAAGTAGTTTAAAAAAAGTGAGGGTTCAGATCTTTTCAAAATGTGTGCAATATTCCATAACCAAAGAATAGTTGCCTTGAAAAATAGCAAATAGGGTATATTTTATTCAAAATGTTTAAATATGCAAGTGCCTTTCCTTCCCTTTTAATCGTCGTTCGTGACGCACAGAGTGGGTGGGGCCTGTCGTCTCGCTTGGATACTGCAGATACTGCTCAAAGTTTGCGGAAGTTTAGTTTTTACAGCTAACGTGCATAGTGGAAGTTCCCCGTCAGGAGGCTAAAATCAGAGAAACACGTGATTGTTTTTGTTGTACTTCAATAGATGGACCTCCGTTCAGAGAAAATACAGCGGATCCTCTCCAAGGTTAGTTGTTTACCAGTGAACCAGCTTTGAAAAGTGTTTTGTAAGTAGAATGTTTACCAGTGCCGGTTAGCATAGCAGACCAGTCCATCAAAACTGCTGTCTGCCTTCTCCAACTGGCTGAACCAGCTCTGTAACTTACCAAAGCCTGAAGAGACGATACCGAAATATGGCACAATGTGAGACGAATACGAACTTCTAGTTAACATTTTTCACAACAAATCCAGTGTTGAGCAGTCATGATTAATATAAAAGCACAGCCCTGACACGCAGTGCTTCATAAAGTCAGAGGAAGTTACAGAATTGTCAAAAGGATGTCCATTGAAGGCTAATTCTTACCCAGTGTCTTCCAACTCTTTATAAACTGCTATTATAAATGAGGTAAAAAACTAAACACTTGAATGTGTTTATAACAAGCAACATACAAATGAATGATCCATTAGCCATTCAAGTGTGTTTTTAACATTATTGAGAGTACATTGACATTTCTTCATTCTGATGTTAAAATTAAAAAAAGGACTTTGAAGTTCCAAACAATTCAAAACATCGAGGTCAACATCATACATCTGTTTACCTCAAAGACAGATGCAACTACGGTGGCCCTGAAGTGCAAGACACCACAGCATTTCAGAAAACACTACAGCATTTCACAAAACGCCGCAGCATTTCAGAAAACACAACAGCATTTCAGAAAACACCACAGCATTTCAGAAAACACAACAGCATTTCAGAAAACACCACAGCATTTCAGAAAACACAACAGCATTTCAGAAAACACCACAGCATTTCAGAAAACACCACAGCATTTCAGAAAACACAACAGCATTTCAGAAAACACCACAGCATTTCAGAAAACACAACAGCATTGGACGGAAAGGGTATTCCTTAGGGAGAACACTTCTTGTTTCTGATTGGACAGAGCTGTGGCGTTTTGTGAAATGCTGTGGCGTTTTGTGAAATGCTGTGGCGTTTTCTGAAATGCTGTGGCGTTTTGTGAAATGCTGTGGCGTTTTCTGAAATACTGCAGCGTTTTCTGAAATGCTGTAGTGTTTTGTGAAATGCTGTGGTGTTTTCTGAAATGCTGTGGTGTCTTGCACTTCAGGGCCACCGTATAACAGCACAAATGAAAAACAAAACGCCATGAGTGCACACTTACTCCTGTCTCATTCTCACACACAATCACTCACACACATACAAGGTATAAGGAGGTTTAATATGTAAGAGTGTGTATGAGTTTGGGAGTGAGAGAAAAAGAGAGAGAAAGAAAGATAAGAGGCGAAAACTGCGACTTGCTGTAAACCAAATCTATAGTATATTGTTGTCTCTGTACACACACACTGTACATCCAGACACACACATTTCTCAGCTGATACCACTCTTCCACATCCATATCAACACACCTACATCAGTTGCATACATGTATTCCAATGGCTGTCAGGGCCCCATTATACAACAGGCAAAGAAACCAAGAAATGACAAGCATGTAATTCAATGGTAAAATGTCACATCTGGTCATATACAGTAAAAAGGACAAATTGAACTATTTTCCTCCAATATAAAACCATGACATTACAAAATGCATGATTTTATACCGGTATGGCGGAGAGATCAAAAGATGTGGTTATAATGGGAGTGGATGGGACATTTTTGTCCGCGAGTGACTTTATTTAATCTGAGTCCGTGCAAAAACTAATAATCCACCAAAAATAAATGTTGTTGCTAATCTTTGACATATCCAAGACTGTGATAAAATTAAAAAAAAGCCGACCCCCCCCCAACATTCATTATATGGAAAATAACTGCCTTTTTGTGCATGTTTTTCATAGAAAACGCAAATTCATGTTTTCAAACTGGCAGTTCAAGGGTTAAAATCCTGAACATAATTTAACATTTGGTATTTTTGATCAGGACTGAAGTTGATTGAAAGATTTAACCCCAAACAGTTTTAAAAAATATTAATCTGTTGTCATTTTAGAGCAGTTTTTGGAAGTGGACATTTTTGTCCCGAATGACTAATGTGTGACTTTTTTGTTCAATCTGATTTTGTGCAAAAAAATCAATTTTGTTACTAATCTTTGACATATTCAAGACTGTTTATAAAAATTTAAAAAAGCCGACCCCCCCCCCCAACATTCATTATATGGAAAATAACTGCCTTTTTGTGCATGTTTTTCATAGAAAACGCAAATTCATGTTTTCAAACTGGCAGTTCAAGGGTTAAAATCCTGAACATAATTTAACATTTGGTATTTTTGATCAGGACTGAAGTTGATTGAAAGATTTAACCCCAAACAGTTTTAAAAAATATTAATCTGTTGTCATTTTAGAGCAGTTTTTGGAAGTGGACATTTTTGTCCCGAATGACTAATGTGTGACTTTTTTGTTCAATCTGATTTTGTGCAAAAACTAATAATGCAAAAAAATAAATGTTGATGCTAATCTTTGACACATCCAAGACTGTTATAAAAAAAGAGCCAGTCCCCAGATATGTATTTTTTGGAAAATAACTAATTTTCTCTGTTTTCATCATGAAAAAAACCAGCGGTTTCATGTATTCAAAATGGAATTTAAAGGGTTAAAATCCTGAAAATGATTACATTTGTTGTATTTTCTATTAGGGCGGAAGTTGCTTTAAAGATTGAACCCAAAAAACTTTTGAAAAAAAACTTTTAATATAATGTTTTTATCAGTCTTTTGCAGTGGACATTTTTGTCTCGAATGACTAATTTGCGTAGTCGATTTGTTACACAGTGAATTAAAGACCGATTTGAAAAATAGAAATTGGAATTCCAAAATAGATTGAGAAAATAGCCTTGTTACAAAAAACCAGGCCATTTGCACCAACACAACCAAAGTTATTGCAAAATGAAAAGTGAAAAATAACCCATATGGACAAAAACGTCCACAGTGATACCGGAGGGTTAATGTAGGTTATTCCTCCTCCCCTGTTCATAATTACAAACATGTTACCATCTCATCAGTTATAACTAAGGTTATTTAATTAATATACACTCTTAGTCATTCATTCACTCACTCTATACTTGCAAGCCTTCATCAAAACACAACAAATAAGTATTTTTTTGACTCCCGTATTTTAGTACAAATTCCACGATGTTGCTGTTGAGGAGCTGCAGAAGATTTATCGAATCTACCCTGAGATGATGCCATCCACAGGGACATACAGTATGTGTTTTACCACTATATTCATCTATTTGTAGCCCTCTACAACACACATCAAATATGTTGGTTGCTGATACTGTGTGTGCCCCTTTTGTCAATTCCAGCATTCAGTGACAACACCCAAAAAGATCTCCTGAAATTATTTAGCAACGTCCCTGTGAATTATGGCGGTAAGGCTGACCTATAAGAGCCAAAAGACTCAGTTAGGGAAAACTGTGACGTATCATGAAGTCATTATTTTTGTACTGATGTCAGCGTCTCTATTTTAAGGCCGCTCCTACAACATTCCCATTCAGCTGTGGTTGATGGACTCCTTCCCCTTCACCCCTCCCATATGCCTCCTGAGACCCACCTCCAACATGGTCATCAGAGAGGGCAAACATGTCGACAAGGAGGGGCGGCTCCACCTGCCCGGCCTGCACAACTGGGATTATGTAAGATTTTATACTTTCTTGGTGAAGTTTGAAATTGCATTCAAGATTCAAAGGTTTTATTGTGAGTTCAAATACCGCCTGGAACACCACCACTAGTGTGCCCTTGAGTAAGACTTAGTTACTCCAGGGAGAATGTCCCTGTAATTGGTAATTGTAAGTCGCTTTGGATAAAAGCGTCAGCTAAATGAAATGTAATTGTCATATGCACATAAGCTACAATGTAGAAATGGCAATGAAATTCTTCTGACCCGAGCTCCTCCAACGATGCAACATATATAATAAAATACAAAAATACAAATAAAAAATAGTGCAAGAAGTACATGTAAATAGATTATGATATGTACAATAATGGAATATGAAATTAAATAATGTACATTATTTTATTGTGGTGATAACTATTTATATAAATAAGTAGATTGCAAGATGACAAACAGATGAATGTTTATCGATGCACTTAACAGAGCTCAGGTGTTTAGCAGTCTTATGGCCTGTGGGATAAAACTGACTTTTTCATCACTCTTGCTGTTTGTTTTATTTCTCTGTAACAGCCCAAGTCCACCGTGGTAGGTCTTCTGACTGAGATGATTTCCAAGTTTGAGGAGGACCCTCCCCTATCCTCAAAGATGACAGTAGACAATAAAGACCCCCATGAGCTCCTGGCATTTGTTTCTAATCTCCAGATCAATGATGGTACTTCATTTGACATGCAGCATATAAAACAAACCAGATGATTGTGAATTTGTAGCCTAACTTGTGTCTATTTCAG